GGCCTGCAAAATGGCCTGCGTGTGCACGCGCAGCATGTAACACCCCCCCCTCCTTATGAAGTCAAGCCGGGGCGAGGGCGAAGCCGTCGATCTGAAGGTGGAACCTGGACGCGGGCGCGGCGGGGAGCCAAAGAAACCAGCTTGCCTTGCATCTTGCGTTCGTAGCGTGCGAGAACGTCTGGAGCTGTTGCTTGAAGTTCCGCACGGGTTAACCATCGGTCAGCTCGGTGTGTGCAGTATGCAAAATGCACTAAGTACTCAGTTGGCTTGTTGCCAAAGCGTCGCTGGGAGATGATGTCGCCGACCTCCTGAAAACCATCCATAGAAGGTGGGTCTTGCGTACGTCTCCCGGGAAAATCGTCATGATCCGCTGGCGTGTAGAGAGCCAGTTTGGAGCAATGAAAGACTGGGTAGACAGGCAAGTGGCTAGGCACCTGAATCGTGAAGGAGGGTCCTTCGGGGGCGTCCCCAGCGGTCTCTATGATCGGCCAAGGCCCCATCCATTTCGGAAGGAGCTTGCGAGAGACGTCTTGTTCAAGGCTGAATTCCGCGACGGAAACCCAGACGAGGTCCCCGACGCGGAATGGACAAGGAAGACGCTGGCGATTGGCCTGCTGGCTCATGCGCTGTTGCGTCTTAGCCATCTGGTCGCGTGCCTTGACAAGAAGCTCTTGCATCCGACGCAAGAAAATAAGATAGTCGTCGCTCTCGGCCGTGCGTGGAGTAATAGTGTCCAACGGTGATGTGACCGGCGAGCCATGCTCGAACTCGAAGGGCGATATCCCAATAGCCGGGTGGATGGAAGAGTTGTAGGCCAACTCGACGTCCGACAGCCGCTCAACCCAGTCTTTCTGGTCGGGGCGGATGAGAGTGCGAAGGAGAACCTGTGCGGTCTGATGCGCCCTCTCCGTCTGGCCATCGGTCTGAGGGTGGCGAGCTGAACTGGGCTTGAGAGATGAGCCCCATCGCTTGATGAGCGCCAACCAAAAATCGGACATGAACCGAGTGTCGCGGTCGCAGACGATCTCGTTGGGGTAACCCTTGGTGCGAATCCAACCGGCGTAAAGAACCTCGACAAACTCCGGTGCCTTGGCATGATAGCGACAAGGCAAAAACATGGCGAACTTGGTGAGTCTGTCGACCACCGTGAGAATCCCATCCACTCCGGTCTTGTGCTTGGGGAACGGGCCGGTAATGTGCATGGCAATCGCTTCCCTTCGCCGCAACGGGACTGGCAATGGTCGTAACTCACCGTACAGACGATGGTTGCGGGATTTGCAGCGTCGGCAAACCTCGCATGACTCGCAATAGCGAGTGACGTCGCCGAGAAGGCCGGGCCACCAAAATCGCTGGCGAAGTCGACCAATCGTGCGATTGACTCCAAAATGTCCAGTGGCAGGAGACTCGTGGAACTACCCAAGAAGACGTGTACGCAAGTGAGGGTCACTCGGTACGCAAAGAAGGTCCTTCCCCCGCGTGTGGACAAGCAAGTACCCCTCTTGGATCCGGTAGTGAGAAGGAGCCGGATTAGGAGAGGAGCAATTCGCGTACTTGTCGCGAAACTCGGGGTCGGCTTGGTAGCCGCGGATGAAACTGTTCCGCAGGTCGTCGTCAATCTCGAAGGTCGAGTAGACTACGGTACAATGATCCGGACGCCGTGAGAGAGCATCCGCAAAACGGTTCGACTTCCCGGGAATGTGATCGGGAAAGAAGTCGAACTGGTCGATGAAAGCCATCCATCGAGCGATGGTGCTGTTGACGGTGTCTTGGGTCTTGTAGAAGACCAACGGATTGTTGTCCGTGACCCATCGAAACTGGCTTCGACCAAGGAGGAAGTGCCGCCACCGCTTGAGCGCGTGGATGAAGGCGAGGAGCTCCTTCTTGCGTGCATCATCAATGGAATGCACAAGAGGCACTTTCTTGCTGAAGTATTCGACCGGGTGCCAGTCCACACCATCATGTTGCTCGAGGACTGCACCAATGCCATAGCCTGACGCATCCATAGTGACACGTGTAGGCGCGAGCGGGTCATATATCCGCAAGACCTCCGTAGACAATAGCGCGGCTTTGAGAGCGAAGAATGATCCTCGCGCCTCCTCTCCGAAGTCAAACGGCCGATCCTCGCACTGAAGCTTGTTCAAGTGGGCCGCGATCTTGGAGTAACCTTTGATGAAGCGCTGATAGTAGCCGGTAAGACTGAGGAATGAGCGGACATCCGTGACGTTCCGAGGCTCCGACCACTCTTGGATTGCCTGAATCTTGTCCGATAGTGGACTGATGCCCTCCGGTGTGACAAAATGGCCCAAGTATTCCAGCTCTTGCCGGACAAATTCACACTTGTCGCGGTTGGCCCTGTACTTGGCGTAGCGGAGTGTCTCCAACACTTGTCGAAGATGCCCCAGATGATCCTCCAATGACCGGCTATAGACGAGAATATCGTCTAAGTAGACCAGCACGAACCGGTCCAACATTGCACGAAACTCATTGGTCATCGCCGCCTGAAAGGTCGCCGGGGCGTTGGTGAGGCCAAAAGGCATGACCACCCACTCAAAATGCCCGTACCGTGTCTTGAACGCGGTCTTGTAGCGATCGTTCGGCTGGATTGACATTTGATGATATCCCGATTTCAAATCCAACTTGGAAAAATACTTCGCGCCGCCCAGCCGCTCGAGAAGATCATCGATGCGAGGAAGAGGCCCCGCATTCTTGATGGTTTGCGCGTTGAGCTTGCGGTAGTCGATACACAATCGTAGATCCTTGTTCTTCTTCCTGACGAAGAGAACTGATGCTCCATATGGGGAGCTACTCGGGCGGATCCAGCCCTTGGCCAACAAATCATCGAGTTGTGCGCGGAGGATCTCAAGCTCCTCCTCGCTCATCCGATAGATGCAACCTTTCGGCGGCACGGCACCGACCTCAAGAATGATCTCGTGAGAGATCGGCCGACCCGGCACCACACCTGTAGGTGACTCGAAGATGTCGGCGAACTCGTCCAGCAACTGTACCACACGGGGATCCGAAGACAAGTCCGTGGGTGAAGAGTCGGCTACCGCGACGGTCTGTAGGAAACAGAGGCCGATCTCCTCGGGCTGCTCGTAAGTGCAAGTCGCCCGGAATGATTTGGCCGTCACTACTTGGCACCGGATCGAAGAGTGCGGTAGAGGAATAGTACACGCCACTTCCGCGCCGAAGGCGTCGCGAACGCTAAGAGTCCGCCAATGGAAGTTGACCGTGTGCTCCGCACTTGCAAGCCAAGGCATTCCCAGAATAATGTCGAAGTCTGTGTCGAGAATATCGAATGTCACCGGTTCGCATGCATGAGGTGCGAAGTAGACCGGTAAGGCCTCGATGTAACGGTCGAGAAGTTGTTGCGTCTTACCATCCGCCAACTTGATCGCCGTCGGGTTGGCCTTCCTTCGAACTTGTGCGCCAAGGCCAGCCCTTTGCATAAAAGACTGGCTCATGAAGTTGCGAGACGCGCCGCTATCCAGCAAAGCGCTGCAGGACGCTTGCCCAACTTGAATGCGGACATACATGAGCGGTGCGTTGTTGTCATCGTACCGCTGCGTGCGAAACTCGCGGGCCACCTTGGTAGTATATGCCAGGATGTCCCCCACCGCGACTTCGTCATCCGTTGGCGAAGTTGGTGGTGCATAGAAGGATATGTAAGTGTGAAGATTAGCGCTAAGTGTTGCGCATTGCGGTCCCGACAAACAGCCTGTGGTTGGGAGAGGAAGCCATGCAAAGTCCTCACACGTGAGCGGGTCCAATGCCTCTATATTGAACTCGCACGCCGAATCCCGTGACGAACCACTTGAAGACGATCTGTCGCTGTTGCCGGATGAAGAAGAAACCGCACACACTCCTTGTCCTTGAGCTTGAGTACCCAACGTTGGAACGAGTCGGGCAGCATAGTCCTCAAAAGAAAGTAGAAACGGAGGACTGTCGACTTCCGCGTGCGCCTCGGAATGAAGGCTGGTTACTCGCGAAGAAACCAGTTCCGAAGGCGTCGAGAGTGTCGTCGYGTCACTCTCGGCGGTGCTYAGTTTYCCTGTCTGCCCTTGCCTTTSAATGGGCAACCCTGCGTCTSATGAAGATCGYTGTTGCACCAAAGGCAATAGTGGAATCTCTCGCGCGCCTTGTATGCGGACTCGGAGATGCCATACGGGGTCCATGGGCCTGTCTGAGCTGCTGCACCGGGCCCGGGGCTAGAAACGGTGTGTGTCTTCAGCTTACCGCGTCCTCGGCCTCTGCCGGGGCGCTCACCTTCCCGGGAGGCTGCGAATATGTCCCCTTCACTGGCAGACACAGCCTCGCTGGTTTGGTCTAACGGCGGTGCCGCTGCAACCACGGCCACTCTTGGCCGATGCTGGTCCCTGCTCGGGCCTGACGTAGATGAACGGAGGTTCTTGGCCTCCTTGTTCGTGATAATGATCTGTGCAGCCTTGTCGAACAACTCCGCCGTCGTCGTCAAGGTGTCCTCGACATGAGTCAGGGCATTGCTTAATGTCGGACATGACCTTGAGATGAAGTAATGGCGGATAGGCCTTGAAGCCCATCTGGATGTCTAGGACTGACGTCAAGCGTTGGTACTCGGCGATCCAGTCCGTATTTGGCAGCGTGCCTTGCTCGAAGACCATGAGTTTGTCCATGGCTTTGATCTCTGGCGGCTCCACCTGGAACCGCTTGTGCCACGCCGCCTTCAGATCATCCCAACTGATCTTGGTGTGCAAGTCGGCCGCTACTACTCCGTACTTGGACAGGAGGTTGCCCAACCAAGCCTGGCACGCGCCCCCTGAACGAGAGTACAAGTAGGCGTGATGCTTGTGTTCCTTGACGTTGAACAGCTGCAGCGTGAGCTCGAACTTGCTGAACCGTGGAATCAGATTTGTCTTCATGGAGTCGCAGAAGATCTCTTGCCCGTCAAACTTTGGAGTTGTCTCGCGTGGCTCCGTACTCGAGGTAGTGGCGGTGGTACAGACCCGCTGCTGCAACTGTTGCGTCGCGGTGAGCTGTAACTGTGCGTCATCCTGGAGTGAGCCGACGTGCATCTCCAATGCACTGAGGCGGTCGGCAGTATTGGAAGAGCCTGCGTCGGAGGCGGCGACTGGTCACTGCTCCAACCGCTGAAAACAGTCTTGGAGGTGAGCTAGCGATCTGTCAAGACTAAGGATCTCTGCCTGCTGTGTAATGCAGGTTGCCAGGAGATCCGTGAGATGCGAGAGGAGGAGCGCTATCTTGTTTGCGCTATCCTCCAACTGGCTCTTCTCGGCCTCGGTTCGCCATTCTGCTGCCATGGTAAGTAATGCCCGCTCTCCGGTAAATATCTTCTCACGACGCTGGTTCCTTTCTTCATCGGCAGCCCTTGCTGCTGCCTCGTCATGCTGGCGCTGTTGTTCAAGTGCCAGCAGACGTGCCTGCTCGGCATCCTCCGCCTTCTTCTTCGCTGCTGCTGCAGCGTCATCTGCCCGTTTCTTAGTCTCGGTACTCCAGGCCAGCATGCGGGCCTGATAGGCCTCGTCTGCTTCCCCGGGCCTCTGGTCCATGACTGCTGTTTGAGATCGCAACAGCATAGACCGGAGCGGGGGCCTGTTGATGTGGTATCCCTTGCTGCTGACGTGGCACAGCTGATGTGTCCTGCTGACGTGTCCTGCTGACGTGGCCTGCTGATGTACTGACGTAGTCTGCTGACGTGGCCTGCTGACGTGGTCTGCTGACATGGCCTGCTGACGTGGCAACTCACCAATGCCGCCGCAGGGGGTACCCGGATACCAACAGAAACGGAAAGGCGAGGGATGGCAACAACATAGGTGGGGAGAGGTGGGTGGGATAATCGCCCAACTCACACTTAGATAAGGAGCCACTAATCAAAACAGAAAGCGAAAAAAAAATCGACTTTAGACTGCAAATGATTTACCAAACTGAATGACAGAATCCTACAACTGCGAAAAAAATTCCGAACAGAAGTGATACGTATTCGGATTTATTCTGATTCGCAGTTTGAAAAATAATAACGCAGGAGGTATTTCCCGTACCGTTTTCAGAAAAACGAATTTCAGAGAAGAAATTATTCCGAATTTCTAAGCAACGGGAAAAGAAAAAGAAAGAAAGGCATCGAAATCGAAACTTTCGAAAAGAAAATATTCCGGATTTTCAACAGCGAAATTTCGGATTTTCAGAAAGAAAAACGAAAATAGGAATTTCAGATGTTGCGACATAGTGATTTTCCACAGCAGAATAGCGAGAAAATAAAATCCGAGAAAAGAAAAAAAATTCGATTTTCGGTGGTAAGGTCAAGATCGTGATTTTGGGGTCTAACTAGTATGTCCTAATCAAACAGAAAAGACTAACTAGCTTTTTAGTCCCCGCACACGTGTCAGATCAGGTTGTCCTGATTCACGTGCAAAGCTCCGATACCAACTGTTACATGCACAGATATGCAATGTAGGCAATAACCGAGGAACTGCAATGTGATGAAAAGGACCGCATGGACAATACAGTGCGAGTAAAATCTCGACAGACAATGTGCATTCTCATACATACAAAAAGGTGCTGAATAGCGCAGGGAAGACTTTGATACAAATGCTGACCTGACAGGACTGACCTCATTCACGTAGTTCAGAGTAGTGAAGCAGAATGCTAGAGTACTACTAACTAGCCCAATCAATGTTTGAACTCAGACTAAACATGCATGATATCCAGACGCAGGCCTGCAAAATGGCCTGCGTGTGCACGCGCAGCATGTAACACAAACACTATGACGCTAATCCCATCCCTTCCCACCAACCAGGACCCACACTGGGGCCTTCTTGATGCAGCACCAACCGAGGGAGTGAAGATAAAGGTCAACCATAGCCAAGGTGAGTCTCTCCATGTTGGTCCCTCTCCTTCTCCCTCTTCCTCAGCTCCTACTCCCTTCTTCTGCCCATCTCCTTCCTCTGGTATGGATCACTTCTCTACTCCCTACCGCTTCTCCTCCATAGCCAAGGAGGTGTGCTACTTTGCCCTCAAGCTCCTCCACTCTTCTGCCACTCCACCGAACTTCCCCTCTGGTCGGAGCAGCAGCATAACTGCCAGGTAAGATACTGCTTCACTCATTCTGCCCGAATGATATACTCTTGCTCTTCTTGGTCCCTGTCCGTCGTAGCCTCTACCGGTAGTCCTTCTTGTCCCAATTTCAGTCTTGCCTCTGTGGTTTCCGTATTCTAACTCTACACCTCCAGGGAACACAGAAGACACAGAACAAGCACACGGTTCGTGCTCCGCATAGCCATCATCACACGGGGACTTACACACATGCACGCACATAACAAACTCACACTGTTCATGGAAGTCTCGGCAAATCAGTTTGTCAAGCAGTAATACTCAGAAACAGCAGAAATCTCAGACTGATTCATTGGAGTATTCTGTTTCTAACCATTGTGTCGTCTCCTCCCGTGCTTCCTGTAAGGCCATGGGCTTTCTTTCGATGGATTTCTTTTCGATGGTCTCTTGCCAGCTTCTATTCCTTACTGACCATGATGTGATATATCTGAGTCTTGGGAAGGAATATTTCTCAAAGCCTGTTGAAGATCTTGGTATTGGATAACTGCAAGGTGTCCATAAACTGCTTTTGTCCGTATCTTAACTGCTTTTTGGCAGAGTGGGAAACAATGTAGGATGTCCTGTATACGCCCCTCATTAGGAACAGCACATAGTTCCTTCAGTCTGCTTCTTTTTTCTCTACTTCTGCACTTATCTTACCATTGGTTGACGGGCAGTGCCAGGTAAGTTAGCAGCCACTTCAAGCTTTTTCTTCTTCTTCTCTGGCTCCATATCCATTCTGGGGAGCGTCAGTCCGGTTCCTATTCCCCCGGCAAGTCAAAGTAGCAGTATTACATCATGTACCCACTCACGCATCCTTCCCTTTGGTGGAAGGATCCCTGATCAGCATTGATTACTCCACTTGGTGGAGGATTGACTGTCAGCTTGCTTTTCCCTGTGATTCCTCTCAGAGTCTTTATCAGAGACCCTGTCAGATAGATTTTAAATGCAAGAAGCACCAAGAGAAGAACTGCTGTAAGTCAGAAGTGTCGTGACCAGGTTGTTTGTTAAGTCTGGCAGTGTGCCCATGGTCATATGTCCGAACTATGTAGCTCCGAAGTCTTGAGGCTGTTGGAGGTGATTGCCCTGTTCTCTCTGCAGCGGGCAGGACTTCCCAGTCTTTCCATCTTACGTGAAGTCCATGAAAATGCTCTCAACCTTTCCCTTGACCAGCCATACTTTCGTGAACTTTGCGAGAATCTCTTGCTGCTTCTCCTGATTCTCCTGCACTTGAATCCTGGCTTTCTTCGTTGGGAGAGGACTTCAGTCTCCATTAAGGATTTGGTCGTTGCACACACCTTTTCACTCGAACTGCTGGAGTTGTCCAATGTTCTGCGTCCAATGTTCTGCGTCCAATGTTCTGCTGCACCTTTCCTTCCATATGACCCAGAGTGTCACCTTTCGAATCATGCCAAGCCAGGTGTGCTCCAACTTGTTAAAGTTAGTACGAAGGTTGGTCCAGAGGAGCAGCTGGATTTTTTTGGGTGTTCGGGGAAGGAAGAAGAAAACAGGTAGTTCCAGAGAGCAGATGCTCTTGCCCAGTAGTTACCGTCGTCACCCGAATAGAACACCCGGTCATTATAGCCGTATTTGGTGAAAGTTTCAGTCTAGGTACAGCGATAATGACTGGGCGTTGTATTCGGGTGAAGACGGTAGAGGAAAAACGACCCCGACAGCGCAGATCTCTGTGTAGTGTGCTCAGACAATGAACAGGAAAACACCATACACTGCCTGATCATGATGTGTAGCCAACTGTTCACGGTAGTGCATTGTAGGCAATGTCCCACTGTAGGCTTTTTATTTTGACCGGGCGTATTGATTTGTGTTTCTGCCAAGGATTTTTTTTATATTTGTTCTGCTTCCCGGCCCAGTATCTTGTTCCACCTACCTTTGATCACCGGATCTGGGTCATTCGCCTTCAGCAGCATTCTGTACCCCGTTTTGACTGTGTATTGTGAAACGTGAATGGGAGTTTTGCAAAATCTGTTGTTACGGGGGGACCATGCCCACTCATCTGGGTCAAACTGTAATTCTTGGATTGGTGTTTCAAATTGGAAGATTGTTTTTGCCCAATTGCTGAGTACTCTTATTTTTTCGAAGCGTGAATGATCTCAGGTGTTGCATACTCGTGAAACACAGTCATAACTATGGCGCAGATTCCCAGAACCGACCAAATAATACAGAGTTGATACAAATACAGTGGAAGACTTGAGATACATGGACTCACTCTGACCTGCCTCAGATTGCAATCGAACACTCTCAATCATACATCAGGGGTGTGAAAGCCCTGGCCTTAGACATAGACGAAAGGCCAGGGTCTGAGATGATCCACGGACGAATGGAGGGAGGAGAGAGACGAAGGGAGGAGGAGAGGGAAGATGACGTCAACTCAATGTTTCCAAAGATAGTATCTTGAAATGTCAGAGGTAGCGAAAATCCGAAATGTCGCGAATACAGTGTCTCACAATGTCTCAGATATCGATCTCACAATGTCAAGTACATCTCCAGAGCAAGATGAAATCAGATCCCACAAGTAGTCCTCAACCTATTGTCCCAATGTCGCTGTCTCCAATGTCATCAGAATTCGTAACCATCCTTCATACTCGTAGTAGTCCCATAGGAGAGCCCAAGAATAGACTTAGACTGAGAAGGTAGGAGGAGAGAGAGAGAGGGAGAGAGAGTGATGGAGGAGGAAGAGGGAGGGAAGGCGAGGCCTTCCTCCCTGGTACCTGTCCCGGTGTCGGGCTGAGGCGTCCCACTCTTGTCCCTTCTCTCTTCAGACAACACAACCAGTCTCTCTGTGCCTCCCAACAGCGGTTAATTTGTCAACAACTTGGAGAGCCCAATCCTTACGGCAGTTGTAGCGGCCCACCTTGGGGACCAATGGCATCGCCGCTTCCCTCTAGCTCCTGCCCCTTTTCCACTTACCGCGGTTCTTTGACTGACTGTCCAACACACACCCCCGTTTTGCCCCCTACCGAGGGTCCCAACTCACCCGCCTTACTCCTGGTCAACACCTTATAGAGTCATAAAAAATGTGAATGTCTTCTCATCATTCCAAAAATAT